CGCACTCCCATCTGAGTGTTAAAAATACAACGTTTCATTCCCTTTTACCACAAACCATTCCCTCAATAATGGATGGGCTTTGATGGAGGGCATATGCCAGAGCCAGATGTAAACCTAAGGCACATGTACACGCACACAAACACACATCTGAGCTATGAGTCACATAGTTTGGAGACAGGCTTCACAGAAGGGCAACGTCAGACTTATTTCTAAAATTTGGATTTTATGGTATCAAATAAATAATCCCTCAGATTAAAATGAGCAGATCATGAGGTACTTTTGTTTTTTGTTTTTATTTTTTTCCCCCTTTCTTTAAGCCCGTTGATCCAGAGCTGACTCTCTCGTTATGCAATGCATTACTTGCCATTAGTCGAGTTCACCTTCATCTTTTTGGACCTTCGAAAATTACACAATCTGCCAAGAACAGATCGCTTCAATAGCGTGGCTGAAAAACCCAGAAAATGTCCAAATGGTGTTTTTGCACTTTGGCTACAAACAAGGGAGACTGGGAAAGTCAAAAGAGCAGAAGTTCTGTGGAAGCAGCTCCCAGTTTGAATTTGGGAGACAGACACCCTCTCTACTTTCAAGATTAGACTTTCCTTTTTGCTAAAGCACATAAGATGTGTCTCAAAACCTAGGCCGCATCCTTCGGAGAACCCGGCCTTCGTGGTCTACGTGGGCTGGGTCCTTCGAAGACTGAGAAGGCCGCAAGTGCGAGGCTGTGAAATGGGACGGTCTAACCTTCAGATGTGCATCACTGCTGTCTTGGTGTAGTTAACTCAGCCGTCTGCTCCTTGCTATTTAAAATATAACAGGACACTGCCGTAAATTCTCGACCGTCTCACACTTCTGTTCAATCAGTTTTCTGTTTGACGGTTATTCAGCTGTGTGAAAACCCAGCTGAAACTTAATAGTGGCTGCCATTGTGGGGAAACTGGAACTGGCTGGGCCGTGCTATGAATTCTGGGATATGGATGGCCACAAAGGATACACCCGACCCATCCTTCAAATCTGGGGAAAAGAAGGACGCATTTGTCGGCCGGATTCGGAGGAGTCTATGAATTGGGACAGCCTTCGTCGCATCGCTGTGACGTAATCGGTCTACAAATGCCGCCTCAGGAGGATGAAGCCTACGTTTTGGGACACAGCTAGAGTTAGGGCTGGATCATGTGACCCTGGATCCTTCCTTAGTTACGCTGCAATAGGTCTAGTCTCCTGGGGGATTCCCATGATGCACTGTTTCTTCTTCACTCACCTTTTTCCACTCACTGTGTTTATACACGTCACATCTGTGGCCATCTTCAGCAGCATGTCTTTGGTTCTGCCAGAGGTTTCTTCCTGTTAAAAGGGAGTTTTTCCTTCCAGCTGTCACCAAGTGCTTGCTCCATTTGTTGGGGCTTTCTCTTTATTATTGTAGGGTCTTCACCTTACTGCTGTTGTAATTTGCTGCTATGTAAATAATAGGGGTGCAACGATACTCGTATCGATATTGAACCGTTCGATACAGTTCGGTACGCATATGTATCGAACAATACAAAATTTTTAATTTATTTTATCAACTTTCCTTCTGACGATGCTGTCTGTGTTGAGCGCTCAGTGGATCTGCGCTCGACAGTGCAGCCTAGGCGGAGTAGTCGAACGCAGATTCACTGAGCGCAGGGCAAGCTAGCGAGACAGAATTGAACCTCCCCCACCCTCATTCAGATCTGCGTTTGGAACTATTTGGTTTTCATGTGAAGTATGACCCTGAAGGTAAGCGCGTCATGGACAAAAGTAAAACAGTATGTCGGATGTGCCACGCAATGCTCAATTATGGTGGGAACTAGTGGTTAGCGCAGTTAGCTCGTTAACGTGTTGACGCCGTCCAGCCCCACGCACGGGGCGATCCGCGGTACTCGTTAACGGAGATTTGCCGTGTTTGGCGTTAACGAGATTAACGCTGACAGCACTAGTGGGAACACAACGAATATGACTGCACATTTACTCCGACATCATCCTAGTGCAAAGACAAGTGGAAGCAGACAAAAACAACAAGCAGCATGCTACAAACTTTACCCGAGTCATTTAGACAGCCGTTAGCACAGATTCTCCTTATGGGGACCTGATATGTTTAATATGCTGCTGAGAATATAGCCCAGAAGAAGCGTATAGTATAGCTTTTATTTTGGAAAGAGCATTTCTCTGTAATAAACTCTCTTTTCCAAAGATGAGGGATTTCTCCATCAGATTTATTTTTTATTACTTTGTTGTTTCAGCAACATTAAATTTAAAAACTGTACTTTTGAGTTAAAATATATATTTATAATTTTAATAAATGACAAATTAAAAAGGCATGAACATTTTTTTGTATCGAAAAAATATCGAACCGTGAATTTTGTGTATCGTTGCACCCCTAGTAAATACATTTGAATTGATTTAAAGGACCAAACAAGGTATTAATCATTTTATTTGGTTTTCTGCATATAATGAACTCATTAAAACATTATTTTTGTATCACATACATTACAAGTGAAAATAAGAAAAAAAAAGAACATTTTAATGTCATCAATGTTTTCTCATTCATGACAAATGGTCAACAAACATTGTGTTTATATGTTTACATTTACGAGCATCCATGATGTGAAAGATTTAATATGTGCAGAATGTTTTTGTGTGTCAGTTATATTGTGGAGCTGAATTGATTCCTGCTGTTTAAAATTCACAGATAAAAGTCAGAATTTTCCATCGACCTGGTCTCTGGCCTCTGCTGTCATTTTGCATTCCTCAATGAGAGCGTCATTAATGGCGCTGTTTTACATAGTTGGAATAGCAAACCGCCAAAAACACATCAGTGTTTAATATTAACCATGCTAACATTTAGGAACATCACCATTTTGGTTTGACTTTCCTTCATCAGGCAGCAAGGAGCTACGTGCAAGCACACACACGTACACAAGTGCAAACTTTTCACATAGCATCTCCCACACACCCTCTTCTCTCCATCATCCCAGCTGTGAAGTGTCATCTTGGATGACTGACAGCTAAACTGAGGCGAGATGAATATGAATGGGACTGTGAATATGAATATGCAGATGAGGAGCGGAGACGGTTTGGCTGCCGTCTTCTTTTTTAAAAGATCTGTCAGAAAAAGACGGCTGTCACCCTTCAGCCTCGCTTCTTTGAGATAATACTGGCCCACTTACAGACCTGCTGGGAGGAGAGCGGTACTGCAGTGTGCTGAGGTTAGTGGCACACACAGAGTATATAACGATAAGCCTTGAACCAAACAACTGTTGTGTCATAATCACTAATTATTTAAGTTGTTATTAGACAAATAACAAGTAAGCATTAAGTGAGGGTAGCATTAAGTCAGGTAGGCCACAGAATTGAGCTCAGAGACAAGCTTAGCTGATCTCAGTGTCGGCCTGCATCAGCTGATGGATTAACCAGTCAGTTTCTGTGCACCCAATTTGTTAAAGTCATATAATATTAAAGGGAAGGCAGGTATGCTCTGAACACAGATGTGCCACAGATGAATTGCTACAGATGGAAATGACCGTTGGCATGGGCAGTGGAGTGGTGTGGTGGGTAGCAGAGCACGGGCTCAAATCCACCATCTGGATTTTTTTTGGAGTTTCCATGTTCATCCCGTGTTTGTGTGGATTCTCTCCGGCCTCTTCCCCGTAATCCAAAGAGATGTGTGTGGTGGCGTTAGGTTGACTGCTGATTCTAATGTAGCCCTTGGTGTGAATGGTTGTTTCTCTGCATTAGCCCTGCAGCACCTGGTCCAGGGTGCACTCCGCCTCTCATCCTATGACGGCTCCGGCGTCCATGCAACCCTGAATTGGATAAATGGATGGATGGACATGATAGTCTTCTTTTGACTACAGTATAATAGATGTTTGATGTAACTGAACTTGGGATTGTCTTTAATCCCTTGATGAAGCGTATTGGGATGTTTGTTGCAGCTGCTCTCTTCCTCCTCCACTACTTCCATGAATATACGCTGAGGGCTTCCTCTTTTCCTCCTGCCTGGCAGCTCCAGATTCAACACCCTTTGTCTCACAGATCCACTGTCCATCCTCTGCACATGTCCACACCATTTCAGCCTTGCTTCCTAAGTTTGTCTCCTAACGTCTCATCCTGAGCGCTCCCTCTGATGCACTCATCTCTTATTCATCCTGGTGGACAGGATCCTGTTTGCCATTTATTCCTACTGTCTGCTATTTATATTTTATTCCAGCACACTTGTTGTGGAGCACCTACAATTTAATTGTACATTCAAAATGACAATAAAGGGCTATTCTGTTCAATTCTATTCGAAAATCTGGACATCTTTCCCCTCCACCCCTGCCTCCTTTTTCTCACTGTTCCCATCTTCAAACCATAAATCGTAACAGGTCTCACTACCATCTTCTAAATCTTCATTATCACTTTTATTGATGTCCATTTGTCACAAATCGTGACGATTGTTGTAGCTAATTGTGTGAAATTGTGGTGTTTGTTTTTTTTTGTGATATTTGATAAATCAAGTTGTAAGCTCTGGGTTCTTCAGCATAAGGCCCTATATTCATCCCTGCCTCATTTTGATTTCCACGGCTCTCACATTTGTAATAAAGTCATACGAGACATCACCAAAGACTGCGTGGAGTTTATACGACAGCTCGACAAATTCAGAGCGAGACAACCCCTCCTACTTTGTTTATACACGGCAGTGATTGACAGTCACATCAGTGTGCAACAACGGTACAAAGAGAAAAGTGAAGGATGTGATTTCCCACCAAAGTTATATATTAATAATGTTCTATTATGAACCTGAGTGTGTTTGCAAATGTTCTCAAACCTGCAGAACAGTTGTGCGTCTTTGTTTTGAAGCTGGTGACCAGAGGTCACTCACAGCAGTTTGCCACCTGAACAACTACACAGACGTGTTCTAGTTAATAATCTGTATGGCTAATACACTGGTACAGAGCTTTTAACTTTGACTGTAATATAGGTGATGTGTTTGTCTTTTTTCCCAGTGAGATCAGTCATCTAGAGTCCGGGCTGGTGGTGGAGCTGTGGAACAAAGGTTTGATCTGGGACACGATGATCGGCACGGCGCTGATACCCCTCAGCTCCATTCGACAGTCTGACGAGGTAACACACCCTTTAATCTCTTTGTCCTCACATGCATGTGGGCACGAAGGGCTTAAAACAACGTCACCTGGTTATGTCACTAGACGCAGAGTTCTGCACATGAACTATGAGCACATATTCATGGTTTCAGTTTAATTTCAATATGCAAAGTTTAAGGTATAAGTCAAATAAAATTACTCATTTTTCAAAGTTAATCAATGCTTAATGGTTTGTTCTAAAATAAACCTTCCCCGTCGAGGAGCATGCTGTAATAGCGCTGTTCTGTCAGTTACACCCAGCATCTCAGCATTGAGTGAAAGGCGTCCTTTGGAGTGAGCGCCCTGACCCCCTGTCTGCACAAATATTGAGAGATAACAGTTCCATTTTAAACACATGCAAAATCTGCATTGGAAGGTTTGGGTCGGGGGATTTAAGTGTCGGGCTTTTCAACCAGGAGACCCTGGTTTGCGTCCCATTGAGACCTTTTTTGTTTTTGTTTACTCTCTTTCACTCTGACTCACTTGTTAGGTTTCGGCATTAAACATAAATGAGCCGTGGCCGTGGTTCGTGCATTAGTTTGTGCCCTTTAGTTGACACAAAAGAAAACATTTTCTCGATTTGATAGCCTCACACTTCCACAGAATTATTGTGGGCTTTGCTTTTTAATGGCCCTGTGTGAACAGCAAGACTGACTATAACAACCAGGACCTGTTTCAACATACAAATGGGAACTTGATTGTTATTTTTACACACTTGCTGCTCTTTTTAGTACTTCTTATACCTGATAAAGCAGACTTGATGCTCTCCCGTCTGTGAATGCCTTGGTTCTTTTGCGGTTAATGTAGAGATCAGGTTTTATTCAAATAAATACTGCAAAGCATGAATCAGTTTAAGCATAATTTGAAATATTTGATCAGTCAACTGCCAACTGGAAGTGTAGCTTCCAGTCAGCTGTGGTCCAAACAGTTTAATCGGTCAGTGAATCTGCCACAGCGGGACACACCTCAAGCATAATAGAACCCAACAAGATGCAACTGATCACACACCACAACAAAGCTACTGATAAAGTTTTAATTTAGTAATTTTGGGGTTAGGGTTATTATTTGTATCTGATTATATTTGAACTGAACAGATGGTTACACTGGTTTTTACCATTACAGTTAAATTAGATGTGGTGTATCTGCAGCTCAGGCTACTTATGCTAGCAACAGCCCTTAAAGTAAACACACACACACACACCATCTGCCAAGCAGTGCTTACTTATTAAATCTCCATCTTTCCCTTTTAGCTTAGTCTTAAAAAGCCCTCTCACAGGTGAAGCATTGGCCAAGTCATTTTGTCGGACTGTGGGCAGGCCGGTCTCGCCTGTAGACCTCATTACTTTTTCTGCAGTTTTAAAGCGAGGCAGCAGCTCCTGTGTAGTCATTAATAATGTAGCCTCAATGTTTGGCGTCTAAGTATGAAGCACAGCATACACTTACCTTCTTTTTTCTTTTTTTCAACATCTGAACTGTCAGTGTTGTTCCTCATCTTTTCATCTTTGCTCAGGTTCAGTGGCTGATATTCCTAATAAGCCCTCCTGCACCCTCCATTATTCTGCTGATGCTGTTTCCCACAAAGCAGATGTTTGGCATTCTGGCTTTTCTAATCTTTGTTTTAGTCTTCCTGGCTCTCTCCTGACTACCTTTCTTTTTGCATTTGCTTTTCTGTCTTCTAGGAGGGACCAGGAGAGTGGACGTCTTTGGACTCTGAGGTGTTAATGAGGGAGGATGAGATCTGCGGCACCACCAACCCAACTCCGCACCAAGTGCTGATGGACACTCGCTTTGAGTTGCCCTTCGGTCTGTATATTTGTGCAAACACATTTTCTCACAAAAGAAAACTTATCTTTTTGTGTCCAAAGATATATGCGTTAGGCTCACCGGTGATTCTGAATCGGCCATATTTGTGGATGTGACATCGTGTCGTTGTCTGTTCTAAGTTAAATCAGTGGTTAAGAAAATCTATGCTGGGTGAGAGCAATAACAATTAAAATTTTGAAGATAATAACTATTTAAAGCATTTTAACTTCAAAATAAAACCTGAACAAAACAACTATCCACAGCTTAGCAACATGTGAGATCTTTCAGAGTGGTTAGACTCTAAACATTGCACTAAATATAGCTGTTTGGAGTTTTACTTGTGCCATGTTGTATCCTCTAAGACTTCCTGTAGAATCCCTCATATATCAGAGCTTGTGGAAGAACCATTAGGCTTCATAAAGTTTTTATGAAAGATTTATTCACTGTAACATTTCACTCCTAAATATTCCTCAGTCCTCTATTTTTATTCCTCTTCCATGGAAGAGTTGAGGTGAAGAATTGTGCTTGGTAATATTTGCTTGCCTCTCATTTTTCAAGATAGTACATTTTTGTGCAGTTTAGGATAATTTGAATTGATGTATTTAAAAGGAAAAAACACAGCAGTGGCTGGAGTGCGTGCTCTCCTGTTGTCCTAATTGCTGTTTTTATTTCTGGAGTGCAGTCACCAAGCAAAGCTGGCAGATCAGCAGTTGATCCTGTTGTGACCATCCAGCTGGTAGATTTCATATATGGGGCACTTTTGATGTTAGCATGCCCACAGTAGTTCTGCATCTGCAAACCGCATTGTTACCCACCTCCTCCTCCCAGTGCTGCATGTAACCCAATTAACATCATATCTGTTGTCACTGAGCTCTGCTCTATGCTGGGGTTTTGCTGCCTCCACACTTCCACGTGTGCACACTGGACAGCAGGAATATGTGCTCTAAACAGAGCCGTAAATACGAATGTAAATTACTGCAAATGGAAATAATTTTTTTTTCAGTATCAGTGTTCTGACTGAAATAGCAACGTAACTGTGGAACAGTTTGTTTCCTCTGCAAGCTATTAATCTCAAGAAGCTGTCTGAAGTGTGTCTTCTTGAGCTGCCATTTTCCGTCCACCTTCACTGTTTGTCAACAGTGGAACTGTGGTTCATGTCTGCTCAACTTAAAAAAAGATGGAGAGTTTCTATTTTTGATAAATCCTCAAAAACAGGAGAAGATATGTGACCTGCAGTTAACAACGTAGGTTCTAATCAGTGATTAGTTCTATTTTTCATCAGTTAGCACAACATATCATTTAGAAAACACATTGACAAATGCCTCAAAGTTTTTAAATCGTAACGCACAGCTGCTCGGTGAGACAGCTTGAGCTGAGGGGAGGCCGCGGGGTGAGATGCAGGGATGTGAGGTGAAGCAGACATGTGAAACCTGCTGCAGCACTGACTGAAACTTGACTGCTGCAATTTGCATTGATACTTGAACATTGACCAGACATATATGAATTACAGTGCTGGGATTTTCTGACCTTTTCACTGCTTGATTGAATTGTTATGAAGCTACTTTCAGCTACTCTGTTGTCGCCACACCAGGTAGCTCTGCAGATTTTTCGCCTTGCCAAGTGAATGTGTAAACGGTAAATAATGGAAGATGAAATTCAAATCCTGTCTGACAATGTTTCTTCGTTTTCAGAGTAATCTAGTAATCCACTTTCTTTTACATCCAACAAACATAAAATTGCCACCAGGTCCTGATCATGGCTAATTCAACATTCTTGTAACGCACACTCAGCTTGTGGGTGAAAACTGGTCTGCAAAGTTTGAAAGTGCAGAGAAGAAAGATGTAATTGTTGGAATTTTAACTGTATTCTGCAGAAAAGTCATTGTGCAAAGTCTGAATCACCGTTTAACAGCTTTCTTCTTAAGAAAAGGCATCACCCCTGAGCCGCTATACCACTGAACAATGGTTAAGCCAAAGAGCCACACTGACGTATTTCTTTGAATTCTAGCTGTGGTCTAACAGGTTTTTCTGTAATGATTTTACTGTTTTGACACAGATTGACAGACTTTGTGAAATGAATCTCATGCATCATATATTTTAAAGCTATCGCCTGTAGTTTGTTCATAGATTGAAGTCCGATTGATTCAATTTCAGATGAATAGAATTTAGTTTAAAGATGTTTTTGCAGCCAATGAGTGTGATATCATCTACAAGGCAATTACCCAGTTACTAACATTTAAAATTATTTTGATAAAAATTAATATTTAGAAACTCAGGCATGAAATATGAGTATATATGAGTATGAGGATCTAGATAATTTTCTCGATAGTATGGCCATAAATCTGCTTGTACAAGGTTTTGCTGAAACATAAGCTGAAATATTATTTGGTTATTTTTTCTTGGGGAATCACAGCAGAGACGACTGCTCTTTCACATTTCCTCTTATGCTTAAGTTTTTTTCTTCTGCTACTCCCTCTTCTTTGGGAAGAACCTTTAGGCCCCTGAAAGGGAACCTCATCAACCTGCAGACAGAATAGGATGGGATGGGGCAGGGAGCATGAAGGAGTGGCAAATGATGGAAGGGTGGAGCTAAAGAAATGGTCCTTCATTTCTTTCTGCACTTTGCCTCATATTCTGTCATCTCCCGTTATGTATTTAATCCTAAATTCCCCTTTTCCATGCACCTGTATTTCTTCCACACGTTCTTTTTCACCACCTTGTAATCGCCTGTCACTATTTTAACTCACTCCATATTTCTTCTGTCCCATACGTTTATCCAGACATTCCCGAAGACGAGGCTCAGTACTGGACCAGCAAACTGGAGCGGATACATAATGAGGTAACTTCACTGCATATTCTGTTTTCCTGTTACTGTGTTATATATTAATCAGCTGTTAGAGATATTGAGTAATTGATGCTTGAGTTTTTATCTATAAACTCTGTGTGCTTTAATATCATATTGTTTCACACTGTGTGGGCTTCTCAGTGACGTGGCACTTTGTTTTGCTGCTCTGCTTCCACCTACTGACATAACATGGGAAACAGTAGCAGGGGGTTTATAGGAACTGCAGTGACAAGCCCATATTCCAGTAAAGGCATTTCTTTGATATCTTAATGCTTCTAATTCTCTTCTATGTTTTGTTTAATCTTTGCAGTATCCATCACAAGATGAGGGCCAGAGGAGAAGAATGCCATCTGTGCCTTCCCAGTGCTGTAAGTATTAAACTTTCACTCCCTGCTGAGGATGACTTTGATTTGGACAAAGTCATCTTACTCTGTGTAAGATGAGCGGAGCAATAATTTTCTGCTGAATTTTGGGTGTGAAGCCATTTCACCGCCTGATAATAATAAGTAGTTAAAGTATAAAATAATAAAGTATAAATTTGTAGTTACTTGTACACGGATATGAACTTACTGACTGTAAATACTTTTTTCTGTTTTGTTGTTTTTGTGTGATTTAACTCAGTCATCACATTACTTCATTTTCGTCTTCACCGCGTTTCTTCACATAGTTCTCATCCATCTCTCTTTGGATGTGTTCAGTACCATGTTACACTCTCATTCGGCCATCATCAGTAACACTTACTGGCTTCGTTCTGCAGTAACAAAGTTTAATTTTTGCCTCCATGCCACCAGGCAGTTGGAGTTATTTTGGATGGAGTGACCAACAGAGTACGTATGGCGGTGTTTCCTCCCCTCTGTCACTTGTATTTTCTGTCTATGACTGCATGGTATGGATGGTGCCTACTGAAAACAAGTACCACTGCATGTTAGCTCTTTATTCTTTACGATTGCTGTAAATGAAATTTAAAAGTCTTGAATTCTTTTGGTCAAAATATAAAATGCGAGTCCCTCATTTGTTGGCATGTTGTTTTGTTATGTGGCACTTTGATATGTTTTCTAGCAAACATATCCCATCATTTCCCGTCATTTTGGGCTTTAACTTCCTTCACTTTGTAATACATGCCTGTTACCCCAAGAGGGAGCCATTTACTCAGATATTTTCATTGTTTGGCTGTGCTCTAAGTGCAGGCAGCATTCTGCAGAGGGTGGACATGATCTTATTCGTTACTGTGTTTTTGTTGTCTTCCACCCAGCTTTTGATGACCATGACAGTGCAGTGGACGACTGGGACAGTGAAACTGGAAACAAACCTCCACCCTTCCACAACACTTCCCAAACAAATTCCTCAGTGCATCAGTATCCCATGATGCGCAGGGTTCAACATCAAACACTGTCAAAGGAGTCTGACTCTGTGCATAGCTATGAGCTAGAAATGAGGGGGCCCAGGTAAATATATGCTCACTTAAAAATACTCATAAGCAAGCACATCACTGCAGCACTGCTAGAGGTTAATGTTTTCATGGTCACTCTTTGCCTCCAAATACAGTTTAAAGCTAGTAAATAATTCTAAATGAATTATTCACACTAATCCACTACTCTTCCTTGTGCCTTTGGTTTTAGTGATTTAGTTCATATTAATAATAGTTAAGAATCCTTTAATGTTTTTAAAACAGGGCTTAGAACTTAACTGGGCTGGACCAGTGAAACGTCCCTTTTCTGTCGGTAAAGTTGTTTAAGTGCGCATGTAATCCCTGACATGTGGGATTTTAACAGTACATCTCAATTATTTTTCATTTATGTATTTATTTTAGCATGATAAATGATGTGCTGCTTTAGTTAATGAAAGAAATCCATCAGCACAACTTTTTGGTCTTAAATTATAAGAAATTAATGTGTAAAATTACAGAATAACTTCTTAATAGCTCATTGTGCAGATTATCCTGTAATTATAAAGAACAAGCTTTTAGAACTTTAGACAGAAATTGTCCTGTTTTATTTATTTGTTTTACTGTGGACGCACAATAAAAACATTTCACTAGTAGATGAAGTGAAAAATAGGAACTTTTCTGTAATTTGATTCTTTATTATTTCATTTCTTTTGTAATGAAAAGTCTAAAGTCTATGCCCTTCTCTACATTTTCCAAAGACATCAAGTGGGCCAGATTTGAATTTTTGCTGAGCCGATTCTGGGCCCCGGGCCTTATGTTTTACCCTCCTGTTTTAAATGGCAACAGTTTGATAGCAGAAGTGGCACTTTTTGAGTGAACTATGCTCTCACTGCATATATAAAAATACTGTCTTCTGTCAAAACTTTTTTACTGAAGTATATTAAGTCTAATTGATTGAACATTTTTATGTTTGAGTACCTCACCGCCTAAGATCAAAATCAAAAGCCAAATCTGATATAAATGAATGGTAGCCCTTTCAATTAAATCTCTCTCTGACCACTCCAACTTCAGATGCATCTCCACCGCTCTCTCAAAAGGCGTCCCACTGACTTGAATATCAATTTGGGAAAGAGGACAAAAATCTAGGAAAGAAATTATAGCAAGTACAGCAGTGATGATTGAAGATGGTGTTGCTGCGGCATTCATGAAAGCACCACAGTTAATTTTGTTTTCATCAAATGTCTCCCCATGGATGCCTCAGCATGTCACAGTAGAAAGCCAAGCTGACAGTGGCACAATGAAGGACAAATTGAGGGTGCATAACCCTGTGAATTACACACACACACAAATCCTAGCATGTCTTTTGTTGTGTATCTGACCTCCTGACCTGACTGTGCTATTTTGCGTCCACATTGTAGACAGCTCTCCTCACCTGTAATGACCCTTGACACAGATGTTTGTTTGAATTCTATGATGGAAATGCAAATGTGCATGAGCAAATAGTGATCGCAGGACTTCCACAGAGTGACCTATAAATGGCAGCTACACTGGAACTAGTCCAGAGGCGCACAATAAGGTGACCTTGAAAGGCAGATCACTGAAGGTTGAAATCAGGAAAGGTTTTTATGAGTGTTGTAGCTCATAAGATGCACACTGTTTCATTTTTTACTCTATTTAAAGAGTGTGTTGCCATGGGAAACCAATATTTTTTTATATAATGTATTGCCAAAATCGGAGAAAAGCCATTATACCCAACTTGTTTTGTGAAAACAAAAAACTTCTCAATCACAACTGACATACGTCAAAGCATAACTTTCTGACAAAAAAAATGGACCATGAAAATTTGCACACTATCACATACTTTTTCCTCTGTCTGTATTTCTTGTCTTTTGTTTTCTTTTTTACTACACAGGTATTCTACAGTGCTTTTCTTTTCTGCATGATCTGTTGCTTTTGGTTCATGTCTAATGCTTAATATCTTTTTCTTTCTTTTTTCTTTGCATCGTCCTCTGCTGCTTCCCACTTGGTACTTTTAACTTTATTTTTAGGAAATCAAACAGTAAGGGTGGAGTAAAAATAATCCCTGTTGATTCAGGTATGGGTGTGGAGGACTGGGAGAGTAAATACAAAGTGCCTGACTCTGGTGTCTTGGACGATTACTTGGATGCTGAGCAGAAAATGTGGGAGGATGAGGACAAAAGCATCATCTATAAAATTAGTGACAGTCCATCCGAGTCCAGAGTCAGCAGATTCTATCAGACAGTGGAATGTGATGCACATTTCCCAGAGGACTTGCTGGAGCTGGATGGCAGGACACACAGACGGAGGCGTGCCTTCGGCAGTGGAGAAGTGCGGTTAGTCTACAAGGAAGCCGGCAGCTTTGAGGATGAATCGTCACCTCCTGAAATTGATATAATACCCTCTGCTAAACAGCTACGACAGCTGTCAGATAGAGAGAGTCTACTTTTCAAAACTAGACTGTGGGCCAAAACTGCTTTAGAAGACACACTTGAGAACTATGCAGCTTTTCGTGAGGAGGAAGCTGCTCGGGAAGAGGCTGAAAGGATCAGGGAGAGAGGGGAGTATAACTCAGTTGGTTCAGATGAGATGCAGTATTCCTTTGGCTCTGAGGAGGAATTAGATGACCTGACATTCACTGAGGGAGATACTTGCTATGAATATGAAAGTTATTACTACCCTGGCAAGTATATGCCGCCTTATGGAGAAGACTTTTCAAGTAAAGGGAGGTCAAGTCATGGACAAGATCCTATGTTGTCGCCGGTGAAGGAACCAGGTGAAGAATATATAGATCCAATGGATGAACTAAAGAGTTTAGTTCACTCAGTGTCGGAATACTTGGCTGTAAAAGAAGAGGAGATCAGCAACTACGAATCAATGCCTAAACCAGTTAGACGAAAACTCCCAGCACTGCCAACTGATGCTAAAGTTGTGCAACCTAAAGAGAGTAGTAATGACGATGTCAAAGTTGATACTAAGGAGGATAGTGCTGTTGAACAGGGCATAGCTGGAGTAAAGAATGCAATGAGTTCATTGTTTAGTACAATAACAGGATCAAAGCCTGCCACTGAGGGAGATGCTACTGGTACAACTTCATCTCCCCAACCAACCCAAGCAGACTCTGGTATTTCAAAACTTCTCTCTTTGATCCCCAAAGCGAATAATGAAGTCACAGAAACCTCTGGTGCTACTGCCACAGAACCACCTACCTCTCAATCATCACCCCAACCTGAGTCGGGCATTTCAAAGCTGCTTTCATTTATTCCCAAAAGTGGTGGTACTTCCCCACCCGTAGCTATAGTTCCACCTGCCTCTCAGGAACCCACATCAGAAAAAAAGTTTTCCCTTCAGTCTCTTTTGCCATTTCAATCTTCCGAATCCAACCAGCAAGCTGACGCCAGTCAGACGGCGACACTTAGTACAGATTCACAAGGAAGCGGTTCTAAACAAGCTACATCTGGTTTTGAATCCATGTTAGGAAGACTTAGTCCTTTGAGACTTTTTTCTAGTGCACCACCATCTAGAGACCCATCACCTCAGCCATCAGAGCAAAGAAGTGCATCTGCTCCAATCAATGACTCCCAGCAAGGGCCTGTAAACAAAACGGTGAGTACTATTAGAGAGGGATCACAAACAGACCGGCAATTATCAGGTGAAATGAGAACTGGCTCTGGCAGTGGATCAGTTGATCTTTTGTCAGATACAGGAAGTGGATCAATCGAGCTTTTCCAAGAAACTGGTAGTGGGTCAGTAGAGCTTCTTCCAGAGACAGAGTCCTCTGGTGAACTACCTGATGTTCAGCAAAGAAAATCTTCACCAGTACCTGAACCAAAACCTGAAAGCAGTTCAGAGGAAGCAGGATTTTTCAGTCCTTTTAAAAAGTCTCTTTCTTCACTAATGTCAACAACTCCTCCAGAAAGTTCCCAGCAGAGTGACACCAAGCCTGCAGATGAGTCATTTTTAGGTACCAAACTCAAACTTCCATTTTTCTCAGAAAATATTTCCGCAACAACAGCCCCACCAAAGGCAGAAGGGGGCATGCTATCAGGGATTCTTAAGTTTGCATCTGGTGAAGATGCCAGTGCCACGCCAAAGAGTCCAACCCCAACCCCTACAAGAACACCCTCTCCAAGTCGTGCAGCACTTCTTGAAAGTTTACCCAAAGGAAACACAGAAACTGGGTGGTTTTCAAACCTTTTTAAAGTAACCCCAAATGAACCAGCTAAGGAACCCATGAAGCAACAAATGACTCCCACCGTGATATTAACCAAACCTACTGACCAAACTGAACAAATAGTGTCTGATATCACAGAGGGCACCGTTTGCAAAACAGAACCTTTGTGCCAAGAGCAAATGTCATCTGAAAAAGATTCCCAGTCCAAGCTAGATGTTCAGTCTGAATCAACTGCGAGATCTAAAAATCAAAGTCCTCCCAAATCTGTGGAACAAGATGAATCGCAACCAGAAGCCTCACAGACTCAAGGATTTCTTTCTGGATTGTTGAAACTTGGATCAACTGATTCTGATTCTTCTGTAATGAAAATTGAAGGAGGAAACACTCAGTCTCAACAGGGTGGGCTGTTCTCAGGTCTATTTTCACCACCTTCCCAGTCTTCTCCCCAAACACAGCAAACGTCTGCCACACAACAGTCAGGAGGACTGTTGTCTGGATTTTTAAAATTTGCCTCTGATGTCTCTGCTTCTACGAATCAGTCCTCATCCACGTTACCAGGAGGACAATCTAGTCAAATTTCAACTCCAAAGCAAGAACAGCCTACTTCTGCTCAGCCATCATCTGTAGGACTGTTATCTGGGATCTTAAAAAAAGCCACAGACACAGTGTCTGGGTCTCAACCAAATCTTGCTAGCCATGAGTTACAACCAGAAGTGGCTGACCATAAAGCAAAAATGGAAGGATCTGATCAAAACTTGAGCCAAGGGATGACTCCTACTCAGTCAGCAGGGATTTTGTCAGGAGGGACTCCATCTGACTCACAGCTAAAACAGCCTGCAGCCTCAGACCAGAAACCGAGCAAACAGACAGACCAAACACCACCCAAACCACCTCCAACAGAAACAGGAACAACACCACAACCTAGTGGATTGTTTGGAGGTTTGCTAAAATTCCCAGAAACTGGTTCCCAGCAAGAACATCCTCCTCAGCAAGGTGGCTTCCTCTCTGGTCTTTTTGGAATGGGAGCTCAAGACTCTGCTCCAGCTAACCAAACCCAGCACTCACAAAACCAGTCGCGGACTGTCAAACCTGGGAACCAGCCCATTCAGCAACCCACCAATAGGCAAAACCTACAACGGCAAAACCAACTCCCACCACAGCAACCCCCCAGTAGTCCTGCAGGGATGCTCAGTGGATTATTTAGCAAAATTACAGATGCAGCTACTCCACAGTCTACAGTGGGGAGTCAACCTGAACAGCAACAAGCACAAAGACCAGGGCCTAACATTACTCAACAAGCATCTAGTCAACAGGGAGGCTTTTTCTCTGGGTTATTTTCAACAGGTCCTACTCCTCCACCTCAGCAACAGCCACCTGTCAGTAGAAACCAACAGCAACCACAACAAGGTAACAGACAACCTCTCCGGAGACAAAACCAAATACCTCAGCAAAGTGCTGCCTCTGCACCAGAGCTACAACAGGGGGGACTATTGTCAGGGCTTTTTAATAAATTGGCTGCTAGTGATAATGCACCACAACAGCCCACCCCACAGACTGCATCTCAACAAGGCAATAAATCAAATTTAGCTGGACCCAGCCAACCTGTAGGTCAACAGTCATCTCAAACAGGTCAGCAAGGAGGATTTTTGTCTGGTCTGTTCAGTCAAACATCACCTCAGCAACAACAGCAGCAGCAATCTGGTAAAACAGGCTCTCAACAAACTGGAACTCAGCAGCCGAGTCAAAGTGGAGGCTTGCTCTCAGGTTTTCTTAAGCTTGCATCCGTTGACAGCGCACCACAGGAACAACCGTCACCTCAACCTGTACAGGGAGGTCAGCCATCTGATAAGCCTGGACAAACTCCAGCTCAATCTGAATCAGGGGGATTATTCTCTGGCATTTTAAACAAAATTTCAGGTACTGTGGAACAGTCGCCACCCCCACCTGCTGATCAGAAAATACAGGAACCAAAGCAGCCACATACAGGACAGGGCCGACCTCAGATTCAGAGAACTAAACCTGTAGAAATGCATTCCTCCCAAGATGTGGGAGATAAAGATAAGGACTTAAAAAGTACATCTCAAAAAGGTTTTCTCAAAAGCCTTTTTAGTGCCACTGAGGAATCACCATCAAAAACACAGCAGCCATCTACTCCTCAACTTGGAAAGGAAGAACAAAAAACCAGCGCAAGTAGCAGGTCTCCTAGTCTGTTATCAAGTATTTTAAAAACGGGCACCAATGACAGTACTTCTGCTCCTGGAAAGGAAAATGAAAAAGGCTGCTTCGATCATTTACTACCAAAGAGTAAGGTGGATATCCATTCAAGTACAGCAACTCTAACGAGTGGCAGTCCAGTCACTTCCACTGTTGAGACTTGTAAAGAAGCCACACATTCTCAGGGCTTGCAAGATCCTACAATTTCTCCAACGCGACGTTATCTTGAGGAAATACAACGTCTCTTGTATGGAACAGCAGATGAGTATGGTTACAAGGATCTTTTATACAACTTTACAGAGCATGGTGTTATTCCACCAGACCTCTATGAGCATCAGTGTCTTATTGAAGCTCTTTTGTGGCAACAACTCAATGATTATATCCTTGCTGAATCCCTTGCAACTCAAGTCCAGGAAGGCTACCAAACATACCAAGGGCATATGGCTCCTACAGTTAGACCACCTCAATGGGAGAATCAAACATGTTTGAAACCTAAAGAAATGGACATTAGTGGCTTTAATGTACCCTCACATCCTTGGAGGGATTCTGCTGCCCAGCTTTTTGGAAGCAGAAATCGTTTCCTTGAGCCAGGTGAAGATGTTATTCTGTTTGACATGAGCTGCAGAGATAACAAATCCTGGAGTAGCTGTGACCAATTGAATAATCTTGCTGGAAATGCTAAACCTTGGATCGTTAGAGGCAGTGCGCTGAATCTGTCTACGGAAAAAACAAAGACCCAGTTAAGTAGATGCCAGTCGCTCACTGAATGCAGAGGACAGGAATTTAGCAAAATGGTGGAAGAAACTACTGTTAGTCATTTAAAAGATAAAGACTTTGATTTGAAATCAGCAACTGAGTTTTTAAAACAACTTGCCACAAAAAAGGGTCCAATGGATTTAAGACGTGGTGCCCTGGATTTAAGCAGATCTGCAGGCATTACAGGAGATGCAGAAGAACAAATGCTATTTAAGGACTCTGAGTGGTATCAACAATGGCTTTTACTATTGGAACAAGGGCTGTGGTGGCCAGCTGAGGCTGGGGACTGTGGATATTATGTCTATACAAATGAGGATTACATTTATTCTCTTTTAACTGACAGAGCTGGTAAACATCTCTATGCCTGTGCTACACCGGAGGATGTACAAGCTCTTGGAAATATCACTGAAAATATTGCTAAAATTCTGAAACAAAAAGAAAGGGATAAAGTTACCCTTTGTGGTTTTAAAATCCCCTTTTACACTGAAAATGAAGGCTTCTGGATTCAAGGTGACCAGCAGAATGGGTTAGTTCTTTCTGATGCTCCTGTGAACCTAACCTCTGCACTCAAAAAGGGTGAGAAAATAATGAACATGAATTTGGAAAGCTTTTCTCAAATGTTTCAGGAATCGCTATCTTCCCAAGCAGAACAACCTGTAGACTTTTCTGTGTACAAGCTAAAAAAGATCAATGTAGAATCGTTACAAAATACTCATGACCATCAAGAGGAACCAATAGAGGCCGCTGATATGACTTTAAAGTCACTGAAAGGTGGACATGGAGGGCCATATTGGAAGAATCAGGCAATAGCAGATGTAAATACAACCTCATCAGCACATTCTCCAAGGTATCGTTCAACACAAATCTTTCCAAATAGATACTCCCAAATTCCTGAAATCAGGATTGCACCTGCAGAGGATGTACTTGCAGAACCACCAAGACAAAAGTCAAGCTCTATAGTTTCAGCTGCTGGAGAAGCTGTTAAAAGGCCTTCCAAGACTGATACAAGTAAAACTAGAATACAGTCATCAACACCTGCTACATCACCACCAGTGTCTAACAAGGTTTCAGAGACATCAAGGATTCTTTCAGGGAGCCCATCAGCTCAAAAAATACCAGGACCTGTGTATTCAGGAAGGAAACTCCCGACACCACCAGCTGTTAGTACAGGTGTCAGCTCTGCAGCATCTCCATCACAGGCAGTTTCTATTAAGATTTCATCCACGACATCTACCTCAACTGTACCTTCAGTTTCACCACAGCGACATAGGCTTGCAAGACAGCCCTCTCAAGCAGAGAGACCCAGAGTATTATCACAACCAAATCAAATCACAGTCACTGGGATGTCTAGCATTAGCAAGGTGAACAGTTCTTTAGCAACTGATGAAAGTGCTTCCCTGTCTCAAAATCAACCACAAAAATCCTCTCAGCAACTTACACCCCAGTTACATATTTTAAATGACAGCTCGGATACATACAGTGAAGCTTACCTTTACAATAGAAATCGGACATCACTTTTAACCACTGCCAGCTCTCAAATATGCAATAAAGTCATAGACTGTTCTGCCACAATGAAACAAATCAAAAATGTCAAACAAAAAGGTGCAACCGATGACATTGTAAAGTCTGCACAGAGAATTGAAGTTGTTGACTTCACAAAGTACAAGTTAAAAAGATTCAAAGAGAAACAGTCCATTGATACTCAGGCGAACACTAACTTGACTGGCCAGACTACCATTGCTGTAGATCTTACCAAACAAACTGAGGAAGATGAAGTTGAATGGCCTGATTCAGAATATGGCACTATGAACACATTACAGCAAAGTCCAACATGTTCTCAGACTGATCACAGGCATGCTGATCCTCACAAGAAATCAGAGAGAAGATTGTCCAGGCCAGAAGTTACAACCAGCCATGTAACTTCTGTAGTTCATATCCAAAAGCTCCCAGGCTCTCAGAGTACCCATATAATGACTGAGACAAACTGCACTAAAGTTGAAGCAGGCAATTCACCCAAGCCGTCTTCTACCTCTAAATTGTCAGCGAGTTCTCACAGTAGTGTTAGCTCTTCAGTTACTGATGTTTCTAGTAAAGCCTCTGGCCTCAATAGTGATCTTAAACAAACTGCAAAAATGAAATCAGCACAACCTGTATGTACCTCACCACTATTAAGCCCAATTTTCAGAAAACAAGTAGCTACTCAGGAACCACAACCAAATTGCTCTGTTGGTGTGGGCCTGCAAATGCAGCAGAGCCCACAGATATCCACAACTCCTCCTTATCAGTCTAATGGAACAGCTGAGCAATCTCAGAAGAACAGTTCACCAGCAAACTCAATTAAACCTACATTAGATATGTCTAAAAAGAAAACAATCCAGCAGACTCAGCAAACTGTTGTGCCAACTGTTCCTATCTGTGAGGCACTGCCACTGACAAAGAGAAAAACATTACCTTCTGAAAAGACGGACAAAAGTCTCAGTTGTCACGAATCCATTGACTTGTCAAATAAGGCAGAATTTCAAGAGCCAACGGAACAAACAATAGAGTATACTAATTACGTTCCTGTTGAGAAAAAGCTTCCTCTTACTGTTGGAACGATTCAAATAAGATCTTCTAACACAAAAGAGGAGACTTCATGTGGTGATAGGAGGATATCATTACCAAGGCAGCGACCTCTTCTTGGACAGTTTACAGAATCTCTTGAAACTGGCAAAACACTCTGTCAAGCCACAGCACCAGCCAATGCAGTTAAGGCCACACTAGACATGACTTCTAAATCTTCTGCCAAATTTAAGGAGGCACATCTAGAAGTGGGAACAAATGATACTCTTTCTGAAGCTCTACCACTAACAAGAAGCAAGCCAAGTGCACATGAATTTGTACGAAATAATTCTGTTGGCATACCATTAGTTGTTGATAACCCATCTGAAGTACCTCTTGGTAACATAAGAAGTTCAAATGCAAATGCCCAGCAAACAGCTATGAATAAGCTTCAAACTCACTCAGGTTCTATTCTGTGTCAACAACCATGGCACAGAAAATCTGAGGCCTTTCTCCATTCAAATCAGATAACTTCACAGCTATCAGTCATTACCCAAATGAAATCACCTGCTACATCTCCAGCAAACTCTATTAAAAGCACAATCGATATGTCAACAAAGACAGGTAAATCAGATGCGATGGTAAACTATTCAGATCCAGTATCACTGGTAAGGATAAGACCGTCAGGCTTTTCATATTCACAAGGGGATTCTGTTGGTGTACCACTAATTGTGGAAACCCACCTATCTCAGATACAAACTAAAAGGCAGCCAACAGTGGCTGGCTCACAGGTGCCAATACAACAAGGATATGTTCAAAGTGGATGTCAAGAAATATCTGCACCTGCTAATTCTATCAAAAGCTACCTAGACATGTCTCCAAAACCACAGGAGAAATGGTCTGAAACAGTGCCTGATACCTTGTCAACTGGAGTTGTTCCACTGATCAAAAACAAGGCAAATATGATAAGAAATGGTTCTGTTGGTGTACCACTTATAGTGACACAATCTGCAAATCAACAAGGAAGACAAGTTTTGAGTAGAATCAGCAAAACTGAGAGATTGCACACAAATATATTTCCCTACCAATGTAATGATGTATTTTCTGGGCCAAATGCCATCTCTAAGGACATGTGGCAACAAAATAAACCAGTGAACTTCTCAGCAAAAGACAGCCTAAAGCCTAGTGCTTTAAGTAATCAAATTGAGCCAAAAGCTGAAGAGCCCATGAACTTTTCAAATGTTAAAGCAAAAAAAGAAATGTTTGAAAGAAGGAAAACCGAAAGGCCGTTAGAAAGGGAAACACCAGATGGTATTGTGAACCTAACTGTAGATCTTCAAAACAAAATCACAGTTGTTAGAGATCAAAATACAAAGGATTTTTCTTCTTCTTATATTTCGTCACAATCTCAAAATGGTATCTACTGTCACCAACCATACACACCTGCAGCCAGTACTGAAGATATCAGAGAAGATACTCAGAAGCCTTTGCAATACAGGGAATATTTACCTGATAAAAACTCTACCATCCAACCTGGAATAAATTCTAGATGGCAGTTGGGAACAGGAATAAACTCTGAGTCATTGACTACTTCAGTGTTATCTCCTGTACCTGTTCAAATGAAGACACAGCCTCCTCAGGCTATAGAGGAACCCAAGAGATCTTCACTAAACAATGCATATCAACCGATCAGTTGTGCAAATGTTGATTACAAAAAACATGATCCACTGTCTCAGCAGCAGCAAACCCAACATTCAGCTGTGCAACAGCAATATCAACATTCTGGTGCTAAAGCTGGTTGGACTCCAGCAATTATTACATCTCAGCCAATACCTTTAAAGGTGGAAAGACATGATCCAAGTGTTCAGTTTGACATTTTATCTAGACCCCAAATTCTTATTAAGCAGGCAACTGTGGACAGCTATGAGAGCACTGAGGAAATCCTGCCAAACAGTGAAATAGTATCAAGTAATGGACATGCATTGCCTTCTGCATCTACCCATCAACTGTATGGTACAATCCAAAATGATCCCACCACACACAATGTTCATAATCTTTCACTTAGTCAGCAACCAGATGGTAGGCCTAGACCTGAACCTTCTCCACAGTCTTCTGGCATACAACCTGTACAAAGTATGGCAACAGAAGATTTTTCAAAAGGACCTCTTGAACTGTCAAAACATTCTAGTCAATACCAAACCCCTGTCACTTATAAGCAGTATTCCACACCAACCGTACCTTTAAAAGTAAGCACATCTGTATCCCAACCATCCACAAAATGTGATCCACTACCTGTACAACCATTAAAGAGCAACTTTCCTAACCAGAACTTTGGGGCTGAATTGCAACAACCAGAGGCATCTGTGACAGGATCTCTTGAACTATCAAAACAGTATACTCAAACCCAAACACATGTCACTGTCCAACAATATTCCACACCAACTGAATCTTTGAACATTAGCACATCTATATCCCAACAGTCTACAAAATGTGATCCTGTGCGTACACAACCATTAAAGATTAGCTTTCCTAACCAAGACTTTGGGGCTCAATTGCAACAACCAGAGGTATCTGTGACAGCAGCAAGGTCTACCTCTGTTAAGGGTTTGATTTCATTATTCAGCGGTGCTGGATCGCAACCATCTGCCAGTACAATGCCAGCTGCTGCTCCGTCCCACCAGCTTATGTCTACATCCGAGGACCAAAGGACGCAATTTACTGGAACACAGGTGACAGCTGATATTAAACAGACCACCCCCCCAGTAACCCCTGCTGGGCTTCAAGAAAAAACTGCTTTAAGCTCACAAAGTCTTATTGTGTCAAGTTCTCTGCCTGTTACTGACCAAGCTAACTTTGGTTCTAGATTGACCAGTGAAAATAATGACATATCAAACAGGAAAGAAATTACCTATCCAGTTACACAAACAAAATCCTTTGAGGACTCTAGATCAGTGGTGGTTAAAGATAAAGTAACTTCTTCCTTTTCATCTGAATCAACAAAGGATCAATCTGCAGCCCTACGGACAGAGCTGGATCCGACCCAATCACTAATAAGCAAATCTGAACATAGAAACAACGATTCCATTTTAAGTGATATAAGCTCTGAAACGTCACCAGTGATACTGCCTATGGTTTCCAACATCAGTGAGTTGCCAGTACATGGTTTGCCTTCATCTCTTTCTCAAGAATATCAGCAACCACCGTCAATGCTAAATGCAATCCCAGAGAAAGAAACACAAGATAAAGAAAGGCCTTTTCCTGAAAAGGTACTAACAAAGCCATCAGATACCATGCCACCCAAGGGAATTCTGAGTTTTGACAGTTCAGCAGAACCTTCGCAAACACTGTCAGAAGTTATATCAGAAGCAGGTGGCAAAGAGGGTTCTGTCATCACGGATAAAATGTTTGTACCAGAATCAGACATATCTATGCATGAGATTCTAGAGCATTCCAAACAAACTGTAGCCACAGAGTCTTCCGATGGCAATACTGAGTGTGGTGAAAATTCTTTGTCTAATGGATCACAGGATAAAAGTCAACATCAAAAGTCAATTTACATTGGCATTGGCTCTGAAATACCTGAGACACAAATTGAACCAGGTGACCAAAAACCTTATATCAGGCTGCCCCATATTTTTGTCTCGGCAGCAAGTTCACCAGAAGAAGAGACAAATGAGCATGAATTTAGTGAATGTAGCACGCCTGAAATCCCAGAGGCCAGTGTTTCTAAAGAAACTGCTCCCGATGCAGAATGTAAAGATTCTTTACCTGACTATTCTGTTTCAGAGTCTGAGATATCTAAGGAGGCTAGAGCTACAGAAATATGTAGCACAGAGCTATCCACTGAATTAGAACAAATCAAGACCTCTTCACCAGAAATGCCACTTATACTGACTGCAGAAAGTAGTACTCTTGCAGAGAGAGACTCACAGCACATCATGACTGAAAAATGTTCAACTACAGATGATGTGCTCTCTAGAGCTGAAGGAATATCAGAGAGTACTGAAGCCAACGAGCCACAAACTGAACTGACTTCCAAGGATGCAAAATTATCAGTTCCAGACAATACAACACTTGATGTGGTTGAACAACTCGGTGATCTGGCTGGCCAGGTTGGCAATACAACTTCAGTAATAAAATCCTCCAATGCTCCTGAAACACTTGACGCTCTAGCTAATAAGAGGGAGAGCACATCTTCAGAAATCGTACTGTCTGAAGGAGTACAGTCACATGAAAATGTGTCACCAGAAGAATTACCCTCAGTCTCAGATGCAAAATTGCCTGAAAAAGTCCAACCACTTTATGACGAAACTCAAAAGGATGTCTCCTTGTCTGAACCTAAGCCCAGTCCTGTCAAACCTCTCACAGAGGAAATAATAGTTTCCAAGGAGGACAGTTCTGCTGGCAAGGTTGATCAACCTGAGGATGAACAAGCAGGTAAAGGATTATTTTCTTTATTTAGTGGCTCTACTCCAAACTCACAGCAGACTTCCTCCCCTGGTATATCATTACTTGGTGGTATTCTTCCTGGCTCATCTGCCAAAGACGCTCCTGGGACAGGATTGCTTTCAATGTTTGGTGGGTCAAGTACCCCATCTTCACCTGGATCCAAAGAAACAACACCAACGCCACAAGAGCCACAGGGAAAAGGTTTATTCTCCATGTTTGGTGGAGCCAGTAGTCAAGCATCACCTGCTCCAAGAGGTCCAACTGTTGGAAGTGTGCGACCTAGAGGTCCTCCACCCAAAGAACCTCCAGGAAAGGGTCTGTTTTCCATGTTTGGTTCATCTGCACCTCAGCAACCACCCAGTCCCAGAGGTCAACCTATGGGTAGTGCTACACCAAGGGCACCTTCTACTGGATCTTCTATATTTGGTGGCATACTCCCTGGTTCTACTACAAATAAAGAAACCCCTGGAGCAGGTTTGTTTTCAAAGTTTGGTGGTCTTGGTGCCCAGTCTCAAACTAGTCCTAGAGTACGCCCACCTGGGCCAACTGTTACACCACCAAGACCCAGCAGTTCAGAGATAACAGGAAAAGGACTGTTTTCGATGTTTGGTGGACAAAGCCAACAAGCATCAGAAGCACAATTACCAGTTTCTAAACCACCTGAATCAGAAGGTTTCAAAGTTTCCTCTGTTTTTTCACTTGGTGGGAGTTCTGATAGTAACAAATCTAAAACTGGGTTTGGTCTTTTTGGGATGTCTTTCTTGGAGGAAACCAAACCCGAACAAGAAACAACTGCTTTTGTAAAGGAAGAGATTGTTTCAGAACTAGTCAAACCTCCAGACACAAAGGATAACTTGGAAGAAGGAAAGAATGACCACGTTGAGAAGATAAAAAGTGTCTCTCCAGAGCCTCTTTCTGTATCATCAGATAAGGAGGAAATTGCCTCAGAACAAGTGAAACCTCAAGGCACAAAGGATGACTCAGAACAAGAAAGGAGTGACTGTGTTGAGAACAAAAAAATTATATCCCCAGAGCTTCTTTCTACATCGTCAATTCGGATGGAATCTCAAATAGAACAGGCATGCCAAGATGTCAAAGACTCAACTGCAGACATCGATCAAAATGTTACGAAAATGTCTGTTCCCTCGACAGATCGAGATATAGAAAATAAAACCACAATACAACAGAAATTGCCCTTTGATGAAAACGCATCAGACACGGTTAAAGCTTCCACTGTGGACACTCATGTCACGACTTCTAAAGAGACACTTGTGGAGGCTGAAAAACAAGTTTGTCAGGCAGAGTCAGAAACTGAAAAAGAAAATAAAGAGATAAAAGACAGCGTAGATGTTGAGAGAAAATTTGCAGAATCAGAACTTGATAGCTTGAAAGACGAAAGTAAGTCCACAGGTGCCGAAGCAGAGACAGCTGATATCAAAAGTCTTTCAGAGAAAAATGACACTATGCAAATGGCATTGCAAGTTTCTAGTGAGTCTACCGACAAGAACCCAAGTTCAAATAAAGTTGAAGATAAGGCTGTTACTAATGCAGAGCTAGCAATTTCAGAGATTGAAAAACCAAGTGAGGAGCTACTGAAGGTTGCTGATGAAGATGAAACTAGTGTTACAGGTATAGAAAAAACATCTGAGGAGGCTTTGAAAGTTGCTGCAGAAAAAAAGACAGTAGTTGCAGATGTAGAAAAGCTAACTGAAGAGCCTTTGAAAGTTGACAGCTTTGAACAAAAAGCTGTTCTGGAAATAGAAGAATCAACTGAGCACACTTCAGAAGATGCTAGTGAAGAAAATACAGTAAAGGCAATTATAGAAAAATTAACTAGTGAGCTGGAAAAAGTTGCTGATGAACAAAAGGTAATGACAGATGAGGAAAAATCCACTGAACATACCAATGTAGTTGATTCTGTGGTACAAAAACCAGAAACAGTTACTGCAGAGTCTGTAGTTACTGCAGTTTCAGATTCTGAAAAAGCTGTCCAAGAAGACTCAAAAATCGCATCTAGTGAGACAATAAAAGAAATAACTGAGGCAGAATTAGAGCATGCTACTACAGAACCTGCAGAAAAGGTATCTGAAAGTTCACCTTTGGCAGGAGTGGCCTCTTCAACAAATGAAGAAAAAACCATTGGTACCAACTCAATTCCACCTCTTGCTCCTTCAACTCCTCCACCACAACAACAACCTAGGCCGGGTATGACCAGGCCTCTTGGTCCACAAGTCCAAAGAATGGGAGTACCAAGAATGGGTGGGCCGCGAATGGGAGCACCACGAATGAGTGGGCCAAGAATGGCTGGTCCAAGACAGCCAGGGCCACAAAAGCCACCTGAACCAGCTCCATTTTCTGGGTTTATGTCTATGTTCTCTGCCCCAAATACACAAAGTAAATCACCAACTGTTGGTGGATTTTTTTCAAGTTCAGCTGCCTCACTTTTTGGTTCATCACCTGCGTCTCGTCAGCCACCACCACAACCGCAACAGCAACATCAACAGCAACAGCAACAGCAACAACAGAAAAGCTCATTTTTTGGCCTTCCAAGTAGTATTGCTTCAGAATCTCTTACAAGTGACTTACTTGGTATGTTCAAAGGTCCCGAGACAACAAAACCTGAGGAAACTCAACAGTCTGGTACACAGTGTAGACCTGATGAGCTTTCTGCTAATGTGACAGACTGTGCAATCACTGAAAAACCAGAGATACCTTTATCTGAAGATGGACATGTCAAGAGCACAGAATCTGAACTTCCTGAAAAAGGTTTGGTGAAGGAGACGGAACAAAAAGAAACGGAAGCAGAAGGAAATTCTCTCACTGAATCTATTATTCAAACTACTGAGAAACAATCAGGGGATGATGAACATGTAGAGCATTCAGAAGGGCCAGTTACTGCAGTGTCTGACAAAGCAGCACCACCCACAGCTCCAGAAAACAAGGGCATCTTTGAAATTCCAGGTCTCACTGCCCCAAAATTAGGCTTTTTGTCTGTAGCTGCTGAAGGTACATCATCGATTGGATCCCTTTTCTCCACCTCAACATCTCCAGCCACTGCTTCAAAGGCACCTCAGACACAACAAACTGATGGTGGTCTATTTTCTGGTTTTAAAAGCCTTTCAGCTGGTATTTTCCATGATGAAAAGTCAACTGGAAAGGAGGAAGCATCCGTTTCATCTGTGTTCGGCATGAAACTTACCTCAATGTTTGGTAACTCTGACTCTCCCAGACCTGAATCCACCCCTCCTGTGGTCAGCGTAGAGCCTCAGTCTGAAACTCCAAAACCTACTGAATGTGAGGATCCAGAACCTGATAAACCTTCCCCAGGTTCTGGAGAAACTGAAAGTGAAGATGGCAGTGATACAGAAGGACCAACAGAAACTTCAAAAACAGGAAGCTGTGACAGCTTAGCACAGTCACCTCTGTCTGGTGTTCCTTCGCACTCTGTTTCCCAAATAGAAAGTTTAGATACACCTCAGTTAATGGGCACCCCATGTGAGTTAGATAAGAGTGAAGTAAACGCACCTGATGTCGTGCATGCAGAACTGGAAATGGATCAACCAAAGGAACAGTTAACGAAGGAAGCTATGAAAAGGCTAGTGCAATGTACATGATAAATGGCATTCTTCATTTATCATGCTAGCATAGATAAATGTACAGCCCTTTTCCCGCTTTTCTTTTCCCATTTTCCCCCCTTTTTCCTAATTAGTTTTCATTAGGACACTCCAGTCCCATTCTCATTCTGCAACTCCATAGCCATACATGGAAACCAGTTACCAGATATCTGACATGATCGAGGCACAGGAAATGATAACATGTTTAGAAAGTGCTAACCATCAAGTGTAAATGTACTGCAGCTATTTTGTGCTTACACCACCTCAGTAATAGCTTTTGTGACAGTGATGGAAGCAAAATGAATGACGAAACCGGCGGCTCTTATTTATTACCTTTCCACTGGTGAGGTGGTTAAAAAGCCCCTCCTTCCTCTGTCCCCTGCAGTTCTCTGAATTATTTCCAAGCCTTAGCCAATTTGTTTATATGAATCAAACTGATAGATTTATCATGGCATTACAGCGTACACCGTAGAGGCAGGCTGGACTCTGGAATAAAAGGAGCAAGGAGAAGTGGTTTGGCCCACACCCAACAGAAAGTAAATCGTGCAAGTTAAAGCACAGAGCCAGGAGTCTCAGTCTTCCAGCCCCTGAGTCGATGACTTATGAGATTTATCAGTTTTATCCCTATTACTTAAACAGGTTAACTTTTTCTTTACTAACATGCCAACATTGCTTTAAACTTGCACATGCTCTTAAAAGTTGTGCACAATTTTTAACGAGTGGTGGTGTCAGAAAAGATAGCAACATGCAGAACAAGGAGAAGCAGACTGCAAAATTAATAAAAATGACACATCAACCAAAAATGCACGAAGTTTCCAGTGATGGCAGATAGTCACATAGTCATGACCATCAACTTTGCAATCCTGGTGGAACCTCACTTGACCTGACTGTTACAGAAATGTATTTAATCAACTTATCTTCCTGAACCCTCTTAGTTTTCCTTGTTGTGTGTGATATTCTTTGTGATATGATAAAGAGTATCCTTTGACCCTTATATTCCCCTTTGATCCTTTAATGTTTCATTCCAAAATCATGTCTGCCATTGCAAACTGAACTTTTTTTTCAGTATTAAAGCAAATAAAATGTCCACAATCAATCAGTTCCTTACTACCATTTTGTAAATTGCAGATTTCCATATTGATTTTGGAATAAAACCTGGACATTTATACTATTTTTCTGTCTAAATCACCTCCGTATTCTAAATTGTGATGTTGCTGTCTACAGCCCTCCAGACAGCAGCCACTTTGATTCGTCAGGCAACCTCAGCCCAGTCAGCTCTCAGCTGAGCTCTGAGCCTGAAGAGCGCCGACATGTAGAGTCCTGCCACCCCAGTAAGCCTCGCCCTCCTCTCCAAAACCAGCCGTCCAACTGGAACAAGGAAGAAGAGGACGATGCTGAAAAGGATGTGCATGCACTGCCAGAGCCTGGTTCTAAGAAAGATTTAAAGGACTCTTCAGACATCCTTCCTAAACCAACCTTGGACAACTGCGATAACAAGAGACAGACAAATGGGTATGTGGGTCTTGCATTGTCATTTTTAAAAATATTCAAAGTAATTGAGCTGGTAATCCTAACCAAAATATCCATCACTGTACACAGCATTTAGTTTGTGAGATACCAGTAGGAATTATTGGCTTTTAGTAACAAAGTAGTGACGACAACCTACCCAATAAATACTTGTTGAAAAGATGACCTTTCCAGAGGCACCACCAAACCCTTTACAGCTATGACTTTTCTAGATGTCCTTTCATCTTTCAGACAGCCAATATATCTGGCAACATTGTCTTCAATGAGTTTTGCTGGATGGGATTGCTGGATCTGTATTAAGACTACATAGTGTCCAAAACGATGCTCAAACTGGGCTAAATTGAGACCAGTTCAGCCAGAATAAAAACAGCCAAATTTTCAGGGATTATTTTTAAACTAAATATATGACTGGCTGACCAGATTTAGCCAAGAATACATTTAATTTTATGTTGATTGATTTCGGTCTTGTCTATGTGTCCAAAAGCTGATCTCTTCTTGGTCCTCAGTCTCTTCGTAGATGGCCCTCCACCCTGCTCTCCGTCCAAAGTTCGCTGGCTGAAAGCCTACAACAAAGTGAGAGTGAAACTGCACGAGGTAGGAAGACTCTTCCTCCTGTCTCTATACGCTGCTCTTACACACTCACTATAAAAACATATTGCATGCCTTGCATACATTTTAGAATCAGTTCATTGTATTTACTAGAGGTTCAACCCTAGAGAGCACAAGAAATACAAAACAGCCAAATCCCAAACACAGATACAGACACATTAACATTTCCTGTTCCCCTCTCTCTCTCTCTCTCTCTCTCTCCACTTTCTTTCATGTAATGATGCTTTCTCTCCCTCTTTACTGCTCTGGGTTGGTTGAGTTTCAAGTCATGCCACAGCAATTTGCACCAATTTTGCGCTCCTTAAGGATTTCTGCTTTGATCTGGGAAACTCCTTTTCTTCACTGGCTTCTTCAAATCTAGCTATCACTTCTGCTGTTGCAGAAAGGTTTTAGTTCCAAGATATGGTACTGCAAGTTAAAAAGATTCATTATTATAGTACCAAACACCTGAGGGTGGTTTGCGGTCGACTGGGGTCTGAGTACTGCAAATGTCATTTCTGGCCTGTTTGTCATTTTGCCTCAAATCACTGTATGCTAAGAAGTACATTTTAGGCTGTGCAGAGACATAAACCCTGGAGAATATAACTGCAGCAATAAAATCAATTTTTGAATAAAGCAACTAATAGGGAAGATAGTTTTGTACATATCAAATCAGACTTTAGACTAAGGACGACATTGTAGCCTCGTAATTTTTCTGCAAGTACACACACACGCACACGCACACACACACACGCACACACACACACACAAAGAAAATATTTTATCACAGGCATAGGCTTAATTAGTATGATATATTTCTAGTTTATGTTCACTATCACTATCATGTCTTTTAGTTCTACTGCACATCAGGTGACTTTGTTAGATTAGTTAGAAAAGTTAGTTATTACCAGTGATTCTCATAATAACTCAGGTAAATTAAACATAAGTTGGAAACAGCTGTTGTCTAAACACTCTGAGCTTTTGCTTTGTAATATTCATATTTTTTTCACTTTGTGACCTAAAAGCATGTGAACACAGTGAATGTGGCTGCTTTACAATGACAATTTGACTATTTTTATTTATAGATTACATGAAAAATCAATGTGGTTAAAACATACATAGAAAACAACCTGCTTAGATTTAGAAAGCCCATGTTGCTCCGATGCATCCATCAGTGTATGAATGTGCGTGCATGGTAGATAGAAAGCACTTGCATAGAAAGGTGCTTGTATGAATGGGTCTGAATGGTTGAATGAGGCAAGTTGTGGAAAGTGCTTTGAGTGCTCAGAGTAGAAAAGCGCTATATAGGAACCAGTCTGTTTACCATTCACTTACCAGTTAATGAAGCCTGAAAATTTGATGAGCACCTGAAGTGATAATCATCTCAATTTGTTTGTGTTTGCATTCATGCTTTAAGCTGCTCTCTACGTCCTGCAACCTCTAGTATGTAATGAGAGAATCCGTGAGGCTGTGTGATCTTAATAAATTGGTTGATCGGGCAGCAAGACTAAATAAATGTTAACACAGTCCATATATCATTAAGTGCTCTACAATGGGAAGAGTGCAAAATATGAACAATGGTATCAGGAAATATATGGCTGAGATGAAGATGTGTCCTACCTATTTTTTATTTTTTATTCCTATTTATTCTATTTATTCCCTTCGTATATTTTATTTATATTGTCTCTGTATTTATATATATGTGTGTGTGTGTGTTTATATATATATATAATATTCTGTAACTTCTGTCGGTGCTGTGCTTTTTTGGAAATCGAATTTCCCAGAGGAACCCACCCGAGGGATTAATAAAGTTCTATCTAATCTAATCTAATCTAATCTACCCTACAGAAGGCTGTGGTCCATGGGTATGCCCCCCTGCCCCAGCAACAAACCAGTCATACTGAACAATGTTACAGGCAGTGTAAGACTGCCCTTCAGACCCCTTCATGTTTGTCACACATATTCAGGGTTCTTTTCCATTTCTGGTGCTGGCAATACCAGTCAAGCTCCAAGGTGCTGGGCAGTGAACACAGGGCTAACTACACGACATCAAATTCAAATTCAAAATTCAAATCATCAGGCCCTCAGGCCACCTTCTTGGACTACCTGTGCCACTACCAGTAGTGACACTGACCTTCAAAACTAGTGAAAAACAGACAGAAAAGATGAGAAGGGGAAAAATGTCCACCTGCAAAATCATTTCTGTTCTGGGAGTTGTCTCATCGTTGCCCCTCTACTGCTGGTGTTGTTAATTTAATAAAAACAGATCAACACTTCCCTCTGCTACTTGCTCAGATCAACGTCCCACAAATGTATTTGATTTGTTGTTATACTCTCAGACGTGTTAAAAAGTGTTCCTGTAATTTTTTTGACAGTATAGCAATCAGTCCATTGTCCCTCTTTTATACTAATGAATAAATGCATGTTCTATATACGTGTGGACTCTACAGCACAGTCTTAACCCTAACAGTTAGTTTGTGGTGTCCATAGTTTTGTCTCTAGATGGGAAATAAGTATCTACACTCATAAACAGTCACAACTGAGATCTGCTTTTGTGTTCATTTTTCTTTGGGTTATTTCACATTCTCATTTCTGATTTGTTTCTTGGGCCTCTTAAATGCCACAAGCTTAGTTCACTTTGGCTTAATGTGGGGGTGCGAGTGTGTTCACGGCCCCGTGCTGAGAGGAGAGCCCTTGAGCAAAACACAGAATCCCAGTTAACTTACTGACCTACCTGGCAGGAGGCTGACAGAAGTGAGAAGTTTCCATCAGGAGCCATTAAGTTTATGTTAAATTATCTCATCTCCCATCTGTGACTCTGTCTCCTTAAAGTATGACGTGAGGGTTAAACAATAAAGCTCATCAGCGCTCGTTCATGAATCAAATCTGCCTTTTGACGGCACTTCTTAGGAGGTAAATTTGGGACCTTACACAAAGTGGCTGCTTTGTTAAGTGAGTTCAGTGCGACATTGAACTATTACAACTACAGGTGCGTGTTTACTTGGAATTAGTGGTTCTAGTTGGCATTGAAAGTTAAAGAGCTATTGAAAATGTCAGAAAAAGAACAAGAAATGGTTCATGGTTCCATTTAGTTCTTCGTTTAGTGCCCCGCTGCATGAATTTCTCTTTGAACTGACATGTTTGTGGCTCACAGTCACCTCGAGTGCTTTCTATCTGAAGAAACCTTCAAGTTGTCCTCATAGATTAGAGGTCCTTTGCCACTTTTGTAATATTTCTTTGAATCACGGGCTTGTTTTAGTCTTTTCCCCCCCTTTTTTTCCTCTCTTCACCTTTTTCTGATGCCAGCAGCAGACATTTTAGTCATAACTAGTTTTTAAATTCCATTGTTATGTTTCTTATCTTATGAATTTAGATTAATGAACCCACCAAGTGCCAGTTTTAAACTAGATTCAGCTAGCATGGGAATGACACCCTACAATATTATATTAGGTTTAATGTGGAGGTTGTTACAGTCACAGGGTTTCAATGAGACATTATTGCAGAGGTTACTGAATAGGTTAAATTCAGTTTTATTCATATATATTCATACTCTTAGTTTGCAATAACATTAGTCAACTGTGGGTACTTTAGACTCTGAGGCAAAAACTTAAAAATATCACAGGGAGAAATCCAACAACACCTGACAATACTGGAGAGAACTAATTCCCTTTTAACATGAGGACACCTCCAACAGAGCCACATTCAGGGAGGGCAGACATCTGTCTCCATGGCTGAAGTGAGGGAAACGCAAACAAAGTAAAGAAGAAACAAACTAAATATGTGCACATTGGAGCAGGTCGCTGCAGAACAGGAGCCGGGAGACTCGGGAGGCAAGGCACACACTACAGGAAAAAAGACAAGTTCATTTTAAATTAATATATTTGAACACACGGCTCTAAATGACCTGTGGGCTCTAAGATCAAACTAACACATTCTCACTCCTGACGCTCGGTCAAGAATTCCTTCTGCACATATTTTAGCCTTATTGTGATTTTTCTGACTCTACCCACTAACGTACTATTTTATTTTAGATAAAGGCAAAAAAGCCTTCTCAGACATATCTGTTACATGTCTTATGTCAGTGTTGACACCATCATTTCACTTTTGTCTGTGCCTGTTTCAGATGCGGAGAACTATTGAACCCTATCAGACTACCTTAGACACTGAAAAGCGTGGCACTCAATGCATTTCAGAATGAAAGCTCACCAAGTGAATAGGTGAGCTTAGGCTGATTCCACAGGAAAGAAGTCTAGTTGCTAAAGGACCTGCCTTTCTTTCCACATTTAGAAAGGAATCACAAATACACCTGAACTCTGAGAGGAACTTGGATAAAATGGTTGATGGGGTATTAAAGATATGAATGAACCTCTGTCATCTCGGCTTTTTATATTTACTATAACATGAAGGATTTTAAACATGAGGATTGGCTGAAGGCTCTTCAGAGACCTAATAGAACCGAATTAGAATAGTCCAGCCTAAAGTTAACAATCCCTCAGTTGGATTAATATTTTTGTTCATAATTTTCTTCTTTCAGCATTTTAGAGATTTTAGGGCGGTTCCACGCATTTCTTTTTTTTCTGAGGTGCGACAAGTACTTAATCTATAAGTACACAAACAGTGTCAAAGCTCCAGTGGAAAAGCTTTGAAGGTATTAATATTCTCCTCCCTTTGTGAGATATATTTTTTGGGACCTGCTTTTCCAGTCGTGTGTGTCATTTGTGTTTGGTGCAAACAGAATAAAAGACTTGAAAGTTCTTCACCTCCTACTTTACAGGTGAAGCCTTTGCTGCCTTTGCAAGCCACTCCAGGACAGATCATAGAGAATAATTAGTTCATCCAGTCCCGAGCAGCTTATCAACAAGAGATCGTTTCTTTAAATGCCACCTTTTGATCTTTTGCAAAACCGAGAGGAGAAAGCACATCAGATCCTTCACCTTTCGTGACCAATTACACAAGTATTGTGCTGCTAGTTGATGCTCATTAGCGTGTGTTCTTGGGAGTTCTGT